TTTTATCACAAGCATAATGTATTGATGTGTTTCGTGTTGTGCTGCTTCATTGAATTTTGATGACCCGAGTAGGGATTATAAAGGAGCAAGGAAATCGGTTTCAGAAGTATTACTAGTATTATATGTAATTCAGTCCTTTCTGAAGACGTTGTTCTTCTTCTTTTTCATGTGGTTGTGTTCTCTGAGCTGGATAGTTACTTTACGAAGCTTTCATTGCCCTACTAGGCAACATCTTCAGTTCATACTTCAATCTGTTGAAGTGAGCTTTAAGATTTTCCCACGAGTTTATCAGTCATCATCTCTCCTGGTGGGTGACCTTGAACGTGATTAGTTGTTTTTGTGTGTTTTCACACCCTCTACTATAGGCTACTTGTATTGGAACTGATTGTTTCCAATTTTCCAGCCAATAGCATTCAGGGTCACCAAGAGGGGTAACTGAGAAATTCGGGAAACTTACGGAATCCTTCGAAGTGAAGACCAGTGTCAGACAAGGCTGCATACTATCACCAATGATTTTCATAATTGCAGTAGATTGGATAATGCGACAGACAGCGGCGGGCAATGAGGAAACAGACATAAAATGCACCCACACAAAAACTTGTAGGATCTGGACTTCGCTGATGATGATATATGTGTGATATATCACAAACTGGAAGATATGCAAGTGAAAAACAACACGTTGGAAGAAGAAGGATCCAGAGAAGATAGGACTTCTGGTGAACATAGAGAAAACAGATGTGGTGATGAAAATTCCTGGCCAACAGAAACAGCAACGATAAAAACAAACAACAATCAGCACAAATGGGAGAAATCTGAAAGAAACAACCTCCTTCACCTACCTGGGAAGCATCGTTTCGACTATAGGCGGAACTGAAAAGAATATCAAAACCAGAATCGGAAAAGCAAGACAAGCTTTCATTACTGTCAAGTCTGTGTGGAGATCAACAGCATTCAGCATGAAAATGGAAATAAGATCCGGATTTTGAACTCCAGTGAAGTGAGTGCTACTTACCATACAGGCCAGAGACTTGATGCGTCATGAAGAGCAACTCAAAGAAACTACAGACCTTCATCAACAGCTGTCATTGCTCAATACTACTCAAAGTCAGATGGCCGGCCAGAAAAGATCACCAATAGGGACCTCTGGCAATGAGGAAACCAATCCAGCAAGAACAGACTGTGCAACAAATAAGCAGGAAGAAATGGAGGTGTATTGGAGGCCATACTTTGAGAAAACAAGCCATCAAATGACATCATTGGACGAGCCATCGAGTGGAACCTGGCCGAATGGGAAGCGGCGAGTTGGTCGTCAGTACGAGGGTGACTTGGAGGAGGTTATGTGAAGACGAGATGAAAGCACGTGGGCAGACTTCGAGCCAGATGACAACTTTAGCAGAGAACCGAGCGCAATGGAGACGTGCAGCTGAAGCCGTATGTTCCTCCAGGAATTAAAGGAAATAATAATAATCATCAGAGAACGCAACCGCATCAAAATTATTCACCTGAGCTGCAAATCTTCTCCATCATATCTAAACGTTTTTCTTCTATTTTTTGATAGTGGTTGTTTTGATAAATTTACTACGCAATCATTGAATGTTGCCTCAGATAGTTACTTAGATATCGTGGCTAATTTTTGTTCGAGAATGAACTCACTTTCGTTGTTTGCGTTATTCGCTTGGTATGCTCAATGAGGAAAGGTGTTTTTGGTTAAGAGTTCGTTCAGTCTTTTGTTTTTGAAGTTTTTATTCGTATGTTGGTCGCAGTGAGAACTTGACTGATCGAATTTAGTCTGTACTAAACAAAAAAACTAGACACATGAAATGCGTCGATGGCACAGTGGTTAGGACCCTCGCCGACCATGCACATGGTCCGAGGTTCGATCCCCTGCCGACGCACACCCGAAATCAATGGTTGGCCTGCTAAATTTAGGGTACCGATATCACATGCTGAAAATTCCATAGTTATACCAAAAATACAGTGTGCAATGAAGCTGTAATAAAAAAGTAATAAGATATACCATGTAGTGTCCAAACAAAATAGATTTAGATATACATTCAAGAACTTACAAGTCCAAATAAATGGACATTATATCAGTTTAGTTGTGCGTCGGTGGCATAGTGGTTAGGACGTTCGCCGACCATGCACATGGTCCGGGGTTCGATCCCCGGGTGATGCACTCCTTTACCTCGTTAAGCCAGAAATCATGCTGGTAAAGAGGAAAGGTTGGGCATGAGGCCAGCAACTTCATCCTGTAAAATAAACACTGCTACAGAAACTTCAATCCACTAGCCTGAAGCCCTATGTACCACTGGGAACGTGAAGGAAAAAAGATATCAGTTTAGAAAAAATTTGCCTTCTATGGTTAACTGCAACTATGAGACTTATGTGGAGATAGAACAGGATCACTGTCGCCCAATATAGATTTATTAATCAGAATGTAATTTATCACGTTCATTTTTTAACGTTTACCAAGTTTATTAGTAGACTGAAAGCTGGAATTCACACAATTTATGATAGCTGCATAAAAAATGACAAATATTAAGCGACCATTTTGTGCAAATATAATTCCTTTTCATCTGTGGGTATAAATGGCCACAAATGACCATGGTGTCAGTGAAATAGAATTAAGCTATTAGGTGGGAACTCTGAATATTTTGGATGGCAACTTACGGCAACTAATGTCAAGTCCCTAGATTCAATCACTTACCACTGTTGTAGTAGTAGTAGTCTCTTTGTTTGCGTTAAGTTGACAGTTTTCCGTTGAATCTCCGTTTGGATAAGGATGGTAGACATGAGGTCATAATAGGACTGTCTATCATATCTTATTGTTCAGTGATATTGTTTTTATTGGCAAGTGTTATCGAAATACACCATGAAGTATTTTGAATTAACGGCTAAAAATGTTAGTTATTCGTTGCGTTACAATTCATTGGGGTTTTAGGACGCAGAAAAAACAAACTAGTCTACATACAACTGTCATGTGAGCTATGGAATTTGAACTTTTGTCGTTCAGTTAATTTGAACTAAATAGGTCGTCATTTGGAGGCAATATTTTTAGAACAATTTCAATAGCAGTTTATCTATGAATGATTGGTGTTTAATTTTTTTTAAATATAATTATATTCATGTGCAGATGAAAGTGAACAGTTGGAAGGAATTTTACTTAGCGTATTCACAAAGTGACTCATTGAAGTCTAAACACGAGAAACCGATCTTTGCCACCTATTGTACAGATAACTGAAAATTGCTTGACAGACGTCAAGCTAAGAAGAACTCTCCGAACACACCAAGAAGATGACTATTCATCGTTAGATCTATAATATGAAAAACTCAAAATTACCTTACCAGGAGTGTCGTTAGACAGCTAGACAGCTGAGTACTGTAGAAAAAAGTTAGTTGAATGCAAATTCAGCTGTAATAAGTATCTGAGAATCAAGTATAATTTGATGATATTAGATGGTTGGAGGCAGTCAGCAGGAAGCCTTGCCCGACCTAGATTTCGTGCTAGTTGGCACTCACCAGTCAGCAAGGCGTATCTGCAAATACCCTGAAGGAACTCATGTCCCTTCCGAGATTTGTACCGGCGTCAGCCAGTGCTGCAGCCACAGACCTTACCACTGAACTATTCGGGCTGGTGATTAATCTCCAATAGGACTGTCGTAAGTATTTTGATTGAACACTAGTAACTAGTATGATGTGTCTAATCTTTTCTTTGGTGCAGACTGAATTCTATCAGTCAGGTTTGCAATGTGGCCACCATTCTGAGTAGCTAGCCATCACAGTGCACATTGATTTGATGATATTAGATAGTTGGGGGCAATCAAAATACCCACGACAGTCCTACAGTAGGTCAATCACCAGCCCGAATAGCTCATTGGTAAGGTATGTAACTACAGCACTGGGTGACGCGGGTTCGAATCTCAGAAGGGACATGAGTTCCATCAACGCATTTGCAGATACGCCTTGCTAACTGACTGGTGAATGCCAATTAGCGCGAAACCCACGTTAAGCGAGGTTTCCTATGGCCGATTGCCTCCAACTATCTAATATCATCAATTCAATGTGCATCGTGATGGCCACATGGTGACCACATTGAAAAACCTGATTGATAGAATTCAGTTTGCACCAAAGAAAGGACTAGACACGTCATACTAGCTGCTGACTAGTGTCCAATCAAAATCAAGTAGAATGTTCGTAACAAGGTGGAATCAAATCCCTGACATCAAGAACCACACACCAACAATGCCCAAAGACAGTTCGATGTCAGAATCACCTTCATTCACTCAAAGTAAGCTGAAACCTGACGCCTTTTGTACCATTTGGCTTCACCTTGTAGATGATCTTGAAAGAAGACTCTGGTGGAGCTATGTGGCTTGAGTTCACCAAATGCTCGAGAACCGAGCTAGTAATTGTCTTGCATTGTCCCTTTGCTAACCATGCAGGATAATGTTCAGAGATGCGTTTGAAAGTTGTGCGCTTTGTTCGGTCGGCCAATGTAACTAGCTCCACTCAATCAGGTGAATTTATAAACACCTATTGAAGTAGCCCAAAGTGGCGGCAGTTTAACCTTTACACGTCCATTGATCATTTGTCGGCTGATACGTAGCTCAGCCATAAAGAAGGCTTTTCTCAGTGATCTGCGTAAGCGATTCTTCAGGATCTCAGCTGCGGTATCACATTTAAATTTATGAATGTTGAGATCCTGAAGAATCGCTTATGCAGATCACTGAGGATAGCCTTCTTTATCAATTTCTACAGCCGACAAATGATCAATGGATGTGTGAAGGATAAACTGCCGCTTTCGACCACCGCCAAGACTGTACAACCTCTGAAGATGATTTCGTCGATAAAGAAAATTTTCTTCACTGAATCTGTCTTTTATTTTATTCAAACTTTAACCATGAAGTAGTTGGAAAACATTATTTTTTTCATAATGTTATATAGTAATGAGTAGTGCTCATTGATTAATTTATCATTCATGCTTTTTATTTTCATTCTAGGGTATTATCCACAAGATCATGGTCTTCATTTGTCTGGATCAAAAAGTCATGACAAAGTTATTCAACGATTTAACAGTTTAGCCGGTCAGCGATTAGAAGCTGGTATTGATGAATTCTTCGATGAACTTGATCATAATAGTAAGTTCAAAACTTATATAATTGTGAAAATAAGAAGAATTCTATATTCCAGTCAGCTGGGGTATTATTATGTCATTAAAATTTATGACGATAACTAAATTTTTTGTGGATTATCCGTTCAATGCTTTCTCAGTCACCGTCAGTTTTTTTCAATTTGTGTTTATAGTTGATTTAGAACTTCTGGTTGAAGTTACCTTTTTCAAATACCTTTTTCTTTTTGTAGTGATCTGAATAGTCTCAAGGTAGATTTCATCACCAAACGGTTTCATTTTGAAAACCTTGAAGACTATACGACGCTGATAGGTGTTATTATGTTTTACCTGACATTGTAATTTTTCATAGCTTAAAGAAATCCAAGCCCCCACCCTGCCCAGTGACAGTAAAACGGCTCAACTCTGTCTGCCAGTTTTCTCGCAAGTATTGGTGAAGGCTTTATACAGCTGACGTGTATGTGCTGAATAGGCGTTAACGAGCCTTCAGGCAGGATTCAAACCCAAAAACTTTCAAGTTAAAACTTGAACACGTTTCTGTTGAGCCTATGCGTCTACAAACATAAATTTCGTTGCTTCCAACCTTTGTCAGCTGACCATATATCACCACCACTCAATTCATTGTAATTAGTGACTTTCTGCTGTCACACCCACGCAACTTGATGGATACGGTTAGTCACAGTCATATAATTAGGATTTGAGCATTTCAAAAGCTTCTGATCCTGATTTCGCACCAAATCAAACAGAATTCTTATTTTCCGAAATGATCACGGATTGATATCATTTAGAGAACCATTGAAAACCAGCCACAGGGAGTACTGGGAAGCTATTTCATCCTAGTTTCGGAATCATTGGCAGTGCACACCCACTGCCAGGGTTGGTATCCATGACGTTGCGGTTACAAGGCAAGCTCGTATACCATCCAGGCACTACTGAGACCCGATTCAGTGGCCACCCCATAAATTCGAACTTCTACCAATTTGTGATTAAGCGCCACCACAGCCATTGTCGTTGGCGGGACATCCATCCACACACGTGACTTCTAACTGGACCTCACTGGTCACGATTTCTCACTAGAACACCAGGAAACTCCATCCTGCAGTAAGTCACCGGCGAGCATCAGGTTAATTTTCTATAGTTTGGTTTATAAGGGTTAGTCATGCTTTTTCCGAGTTGATCATGGATCGATATCAGTTAGAGCTTGCCTTGTAACCGGAAGGTCCTGGGTTCGAACCCTACTGTGATGGGTACGTACTGCCGATGATTCCCAAACTAGGCTGATGAAACACCTGTTCAGCACTCCAAGATGGTTTTCAATGGTTCTTTAACTGGTATCAATCCGTGATCAACTCGTAAAAACATAACTAACCCTTACAAACCAAACTATAGAGAATTCTTATTCCTAGGCATTATTTTGCCGTCGTCTCATCAGCTGCGTACAGCCTAAAGAAGTTATTAAGTGGTTTATGTATAGAACAACTTTAACACACTTGAAACTGTTACATGATATGAGTCAACACAAGGTTCTAAATTTAATGAACAGTGGTCATAAATTACACTTTTACTGTTTGTACCCAGTTCAAATAAAAATAAGTGTTTACATACATTGGCAAAGGGTGTACGTGATAAAGCCAAGAGGTGGGTAAGATGATGGGCAACTATTAAAATGAGAAACATTGATGTGTCCAATTCAAATCATGGAGACAAGTGACAAGTATAGTGAAGGCGATAGAGGTGAAAGCCAAACATTAAGTTAGCATATGAAAGAGAGAAAGAGAGTGGAGACATCCGGTTACCAGGCCATGGAAAGACAGAAAATAGATTCTTTCTAAACACACATATCGGGTTTTCTAGACAATTATTTCTAGCAAATTTGAGTAGAACTGAACTATTTATTTTGTCTATTGATAATTTTAAGGGAATTCATGATGTGTGTGTATGTGTGGCTGATGACCTGTATTAACTGGATTATCTGTTAGTGACAGTATTGTAAACATTTTTGGTACATGTTTAGAAAATTGAAGGTGTACCCTTCTTGCTCTGGTAAATGGTTATCTCTAATCTCTTTTTTTCCCTTGACTACCTAATATTTGGCTTGAACATTCCATCCTGTCTTCACTATATTTTCACTTTACCTGTTACTTGTTTCTGTGATTTGAATTGACCTCATTGTATTGTCACTTAGCTTATTGGTTAATCATTATCGTATTCAGCAACTGCCTTTATTATGTAGGTCCTTTTCCATTTTATCTGAGCATTTATAGAGGTGTACTGATGTAATCTCTGAGCACTGTTTATTTATTAAGTTTCAGTTCTCCTGTTAACATTTTCCGAGTATGTTACAATTGTTCTGTACATAAAGTAAATTAATTTACTTCAGGCTATACGCTGTACTGATGAGGAGCTGACAAAAGTGAATGACGTAAGCGTCTTATTCTGCACACACACACACACAGTGTCGTCCTTGCCTTTATTCATAATTAAAAAATCCTTGAAATCACGTGGTGGAATCACGTGATGAAATCACTAGTTCTTGTGTATATTCTTTGGTTTAGACTAGTTTTTTCTGCATTTCTGCTTGGTCTACTCACTCCACGATCAATGGGAGGGTGGTCCTTGCAAATTGAAGACCTGTACCCTTTTTTGCATAATCATTTATCGCAATAATAACTGGAAAATCATTGAATTAATAAATCTACAATATATTAAGTTCATTTTCTGAGATATGTCAAAAAGACCGCCAGTTTGGTATTATTGAAGTTGTTAATACAAGTAGAATTTAATCGGTGAATGGTGACTAGTAGTGGAATCCAGGATAATTTAGGGATTTGGGTAGATTACTTTTTGCCTTGTCGATGACTTTAAAGGCGGAGGCTGTAGAGATAGGGTGATCATTATCGACCAGATGTTCAATGACCGCCATCATTGAATCCTGGATAAAGCGCATTTCGTCCTCTGATTGGGACTCGTCCTCTAGCTGGGTGTACCTTCATTCCGCAGTGAGTGTTGACGTTCCCACCGAGGATTGGACCCAGAGCCCATAGTTTCAAACGCCAAACCGTTATCTACTAGACCACTTGGGCCACAAGAGTAATCAGAAATTTAGAAATCTAAACAGGTTTAATGAGTAGTGCCGACAGAACAAGCAGTTTTTACAGTTGTCATTCTGAAGCTCACATATATATTTCACTGACAGTAGTACTTTTATCCAATACACATCTAGACAGCTGAGTTTTCTGTTCCGTTTGCCTATGTCATCATTGGTCAGTTTCATTTTTATTGAATTCAGCGTTAATTTTATAATAGACTTATTTAACAGAACTTTCATGAAATAATAGAGGATATTCGAACCTCAGGTGGGTGAGATTTTTGATTTGGTTGTGTTTTCTGATTGATTAAATTAAATAAAACTGACCAGGTCAAACATGTGTCGGTGGCATAGCGGTTAGGACGTTTGCCGACCATGCACATGGTCCAGGGTTCGATTCCCGGCCGACTCACTCCTTTACCTCGTTAAGCTAGAAATAATGCTGGTGAAGAGGAAAGGTTGGGCATGAGGCTAGAAACTCCATCCTGTAAAGTAAACACTGCTACAGAAACCACTATCTTGAAGCCCTTTGTCCCCCTGGGGAACATGAAGGGAAAAAAAAGGTCAGGCAACACAACCAAACCAAGAACTTCCAGGAGTTAACGTTTGATTACTGTTATTATTATTTTTGGCGAGGAGTCTGTTTTCGGTGAATTCATTTTCTTAGATGTACAATCGCAAATATATATGAATATGGGTTATTCTCTATGTATGTGTACATTAACTTTGTCAAACAAAAATACCATTGGTCATGGTTATTGTAAGTAAACAGGTGAGAATTAGTAAGTTGTGGGTGGCGTTACGTAATACAAAAAGTATTTAGGTGAATTGGATGTTGATGTTGTTGTTACTACCCTGTTATATCAAACAACCAATTCACCTGAATACTTTTTGTATTACATAACTCCACCCACAAATTACTAGTTCTCACGTGTTTTGTCAAAAAAACCATAACCAATTGTATTTTGTATAACCCAAACTACTTGCGATTGTACGTCTAAGAAAATGAATTCATCAAAAAGAGACTCTTCGCTGAACTGCTGGTCTTCTCTCTCTATTAATGTTTGAATAGGGATTTTCCTACGTTCCAAGTGGAGCATAGGGCTTCAACAACATATGTCCACTTTCTTCTATTTTCTGCTGTCCTCTTCATCAATGTCCACAATTTCGCATCTACTGCTGACACGATCCCCTCAATGCCAACATAAGATGACTCACTTGTCGTTTCCCACTTGGATTCCACTCAAGCAGTGGCCGGGCGTGCTATGTCACTCGACGGTTTCCTTTGTGTATGCCCAATCTACATTTATTTTCTCCTACATATTCCTGGTTAGTTTGTTCTCATAGTTTCTTACTGCTTACTCTTCTTGGCCAGTCGTATGTTCTCCAGTATGGTATCAGCGAAGGTGACAGCCGTTAATAAGAGTCTGCATTGACCTTACTGTTCCGACCTTCACTGACTTTGATATCCTCATCTACACCACAACTGCCTGTATAACTAAACGAAGGTATCTCTTTCAAGTTTCTTTCTTTCATAGTGATTGGTGCTGATGGTTGTTGTTGCTGCTGGCCGGTTATCTTCCTGACTTCATTCTTCTCTATGTTCACCTGAAATCCTGTCTTCGCTGACTACTTGTTGGTTTCCACCATGGGTTCTTACTCAACAAATATCCTCTTATATTATTGATGTAAGAATAAAACGTGTGCACTGTGTTAGATTGTAATTCCATTATGGGTAAATTTTGTTTATATAAAATCTCACAGTGTTATCCAGTAATGTTTACTGATGACGTTTCGAGCACAATTCATCACTGCTCATAATCATATCAAGGTAAGCACACGACTTCCTAACTTCATATATATAGTTCCATTATTTTTCACTTGATTTTCGCTTGATTTGATTGGTAGTAGTATTTTCCATA